GAAGTTGCACTTAGAGTGGTAATAATCAAGATGAGTGAATTAATTAGAGATTTAGCTTTAGCGATTTATTTTACATATATAGTATACTAATGTTTAATAAAGCACACATAATTAGTCTGACAGAGTGTAAAAAAAAAAAAAAAAAAAAAAAAAAAAAAAAAAATCAAAAGGTGGGATGGATCACCACAAAGAAATTCTATCCCTTCTCTAAGTTCCACAAGTGATAAAAAGGCTCCCTAAGGTGAAAGCTAAGGTCTTTTAGTTTCTCTTGGACTATTCCAATCTGATATATGCTTAAATGAAGACTCATCTGATGCTGCAGGTTATGACAAAGAAGACTTCTTCTGAGATCCAAATGAAGCAAAGTAAAATATCCCAATCAAGCAAGAACTCTTTTGAAAAGAGGCTGTAAAATGAAAAAGAATCTTTTGAGGGACTTTAATGTGTTTTTCATTTCCTCTTTCCCAGTTCAACTTCAATAATTCATCATTTTTCAGGATAATCAATAGTGACAAACTGTTGGCAATGATTCTGATTGACTTAGAGGCACTATGCCAAGCTACTAGGAGAGTATAATATTGTCCCTTAAATCTGACTTAGAGTATCTAATTGAGACTTAGTTTTGTTTAATCTGAACTAGCTTAGTGGATACCTTATATTTTTTAAGTAGTATAATCCTTTAACTAATAATGTACAAAAATAAGTTAGTCATTACGTGAGAAGGTTTGCAGATTATTTTGATATTTTTCAAGTATCTTAATAAAGACAAGTCATTTCGACATGATTACAGGTTAAAAAAAAAAATAATAATAAATAAACTTTTAAATAAAAAATATGAAACATTTCTACAATACAGTATGTATTTATTTTGTATTGAAAAATCACAAAGAAATCAAACAAAATTTTATTTAGGTTTATATTCAAGACTTAACAAATCAAATAAAGAAAACTTGTATTTATTCATTGCATATCTATCAATTTATTTATCTCTAAAGATTTTTGATCGGGTAATGCAAAATATGTGATAAATTTGTTATTAAGCTAGTATTAGAAATTTTGTTTATATAAATGCATTGAGTTTATAATATAAACAAAAAATTCTCAACATTGAACTTTCTACATTGTTAATAGAACTACCAACACATCAGCAAAGATACTGTACCTTATCTACGGCGAGCTTTTTTCCTGTCACTTTGCCTACCACTACGCCTATAAGAGGACTCATAATCTGAATCCATCTCCATATCAGAATCATCCTCGACATATAAAGAATTATTATCATATCTCCCGGAAAAACTGCTTCTTTTGTTGTAGTAACTCTTACTTTCTGATCTATGTAAATCATAATGCCTTGACACAGATGTCACGTAACCATACCCATCCTCTTCTATGTGCGATACTAATGATTGAAAATTAGGGACTTGGGAATTCAAATAACTATCATGCGAGCGCGACTGATTAAATTTACGTTTTGCCTTGGCAGCCTTTTCGATTCTTGATTGATCAGCGTAAGAAATTTCCACTCTGAATTCTCTCGAAATAGAATTAAAATCCGGTAAACTCGAAAATTTAGACAATATGTTTTTGAATGACGTGATTTCTTTCGACAAGAATTCATGATAGTCATTAGCATGTTTATGTCTAATTGCTTGAATGCTATTATCCACAAAAAGAATAGACGAAAGAATCGACTCGTTTTGCAGTCCCACAAATTTTCCTTCGTCACGCGGTAGTAATCGCGAAAGATATCCGTTTCGAACGACGAGACGTTTGAATGCACGCTGGAATTGAAGGCGTATAAAATCCATGTTGCGCGTCGATCGCGAAATATCATTGTCTATTTAAGATACACTTAGTCTTATCTTTTCAAATAATAATAAAAACGACGTGAAACGTTAAGATGGACTCAATATATGTACCTTCGTCTGTTGGATCTTGAATACATAAATTCGTTTTGGGGATTTTATTTGCCCATGATTCACTTGCCTTGGGTAGAATTAGGTTACGAAAAGTTTAACTTTCAGGTAGAAAGATCGAAAAACTCAATATGAGATGGCATATTCACCTTCAAATAGTATCCATGACCTTCGGGTGACTTAATTCGTATTGCAAGTTTTTCATAATTGAAATTAAAACCGTAAAGTTCAAAAAACTCTATTAATATGACACCCAAATTCTCGTCCTCTGGTACCACAGTACCTTCCTGGATTTCTCGATGCAACTAGTTTTTATCAGAAGAAAAGATTAGAACGATTTATAAAGCTTATTATGAGAATGCGTTAATTGTTTGGATCAAAGTTTACCTGAAAGAAACTAAGAATCATGCAAAAAACCGTAAATCCACCCATTCCGCCCACTGAAGGATCATCCAGAGAATGATGCCGTAGAAAATGTTTAATGACTATCACCAACTTTTCTAAAGAAGGCCATTCTCCCTTAATCTTCTTTATTGCACGGGCAGAAATAAATCCCGAAGCTTGATTGAAAGACAAGTCAACGTTAAATTTGGTAAAACGTTCGCGAAACTTTATTATTGGAACCTATGATGGAATGCAATATATTAACATACGCTTTATATCCCTAAATAGGTTTCATTAAGTTGAATTAATTTTATATAACTCACAACAGCATTGGATATAACAGTTGGCCTGTCAGCACAGATATCTTGATCCTCCAAGATTTTCGATACCACCCTTAATGATGAGGGAGTATGAATATGAATGAAGCACACCAAGTCAATATCACTCGTAGGAAGATAGAGACCTGTGTTAAAGCTTCCAAATGGTATGATCTCGGCGTCAGGAATCTTTCTTTTAATTGCCAACTCTACTCGCTTTATCACGAATGTGCGCAGCGAATGTTCGATATCGGTGGGACTGAGATATTCCACCAATTCAAGAATTTCGTGATGCAATCTAAATTTAAGAAACGTGAAGTTAGCATTTTCAACAAAATAATAGAATTGATGCGTGAACTTACCTCTGGGTCACACTCGTATATTCGAGCTTTTTTTCTTTTACGATCCAAGGTATTTCCGTTTTTAAAGGTTTCCTCCATCGATCGAAGTCATTTCTACTCCTTTTTCTTGAATTGCGCTGAAAGCCTTTAATTTCTTCTGAAGTTAAGGGATTCAAAGGAATATATGACTCATTTCTTTTATTCGAGCTAGCTTCCGAGCGTTCGTTTGCATCCTCCGATAGAAAAGGATGCATCGTCTGGGTAACAGGTGCTTTGGGTAATGAAAAAGGACGAAAACCGAAAGGAAGTTGGTGTAAAAAAGGTTGTCCCATAAAATTATTGTAATTAAACACACTGTTATGCATATCGTTTAATCTTCTAAAAGGAAAAGGATAAATGCCTTCTTTCAGAAATCATCATTCCATAATTCCCGCCTGTCTTAAGACACGTGAAACGCGTGTACGACATATCTAAAATCTATTTTTGTCTTGTGACGTATAACTTTTTGTGCACTGCTGCGTTACTAGCAACATTAATTCAGAGAAATTGTCTTTCAGCAAACATAATGGAAAAGCTCAGAGAAGTATGTATACTATTTTTATCTTTAGGAAAGGACCATATCAGCGTTAGCATAATGCGGTAATCGCGTTAACTAACTTTCCAAGTTATATAAGTAGCATAGGCGTTTATTGAATGTGTTCACTTTTATTTCATAGTCTTTCTCTAAAATAATAAAATCACGGGTAATGTGAATTTCTAAATCTTCCTTTTAGAAACTCACCACCCTCCGTGCTGAAGCAGATACTGCAAGCCAACGAGCTGAGGATGCAGAAGCTCAGAACAAGAAGCTTGAACAGGAATTGACAGCTAAAGAACAAGAAATCATCTCACTCCAAAACAAAATCTCGCTTTTGGAAGCTGAAGTTGAACGGGCTGAAAAAAAACTTTCAGATGCTAAGCTTGCTAAGGAAGAAGAGGAAAACACAAAGAACATTTCTGAAAGCCTCCAGAGGAAGGTCGCCTTACTTGAAAATGAATTAGATAACACCGAAAAGAATCTGAAGGAAACAGTGGAAAAGTAAGTATAGTGTTATGCGATTTATTTTGTTTATCTATTTTTTTTTTTAGCTGAGTTTTAACAATTCATCATTTCGATTAGATTACGTCAAACAGATGTTAAGGCGGAACACTTTGAGCGCAAGGTACAGCAACTCGAGGCAGAAAAAGCAGATTTGGAGAAAAAGTATGATGAGATGACAGAGAAATATAATGAAAAGGACAAAGAATTGGAAGAGACCCTCAAATCCTTCGAGAATTTGTAGCACTTTTCATAATTTTTTTTTGAAATGTAGCGATATAATAATAGCATATCATTAATTTCAAATGTCTGACATAAGTTTCGGTAATTATTTATGAGATCATTTGCATCATTGGGATTATCCATAGGCTTTCAAGTTTTTTTATTTATTAATTGAATTTAAAATAAAATTCTTACGGAATAGCTGTGCATACTTTTTTTTTTAAATGTTCAGAGTTATTACTAGGATTCTAAGCAATTAACAATCGACTATAATTTGAGATGATTATTGGTAAGAACTACTGAAAAATAAATAGATTTATTTTATGTGAAACCAATATTAATTCTAACAAATATTATTATTAAATCAGTTAAATGCATTATTTATTTTTTAATATAATTTATTGATTAATTGATTTACTATTGTTTGATTATTTTTTTTAACATAGAAAAAATATATTTATTTTTTTTTTTTTAACCCACAATTATGTCATGATGGCTTGTATTTATTGAGAAATTAAACCAAAATTTATAATAGTTTATAGACTTTAAATCAGATTTTGGGAACAATATTATACTTCTCTAATAGATTGGTTATAACATCTATCTATCAGGATCATTGTCAACAGTTTGTCACTATTGATTAATCCAAAAACCAATGAATTGTTAAATTAAAAAGAGAAAAGGAAAAAATAATTAAAGAAAGAAACAATTCAAGGCTTGTCAAAAAAGTTTAAAAATA